TTCGGCTAAAAAATACTCGATCTAAAATTCGAGTTTCGGGCTGCATACTGCTAAGCTGAAACTTAGAAAAATCATAACTTCCTCATACGAAGTTAGATTTGGACAATCTTGTTATGCATGCTCTCGGTTTAACGAACACTACGACTTTCGTTTAGATAGTTAAGGCTAAAAAGCAGTTTATCGAAAATTTACTTTTTACGTCATACAGTGTCGTGTCGGTTCTGTCGCGAAACTTCGACAGGTCATAACTTCTTCGTTATAACTCGGATTTCGGTATTCTTAATATCTCCGGAATCCTTGTTTCAACCACTACAACTTTCATCATAGATATTGGCTTTATTTAAACATTTATTTTTTACGCTTATTTTTATCCTTAATTCATTAAATCATAATAATTAAGTATAAAACACAAAATACTCAAATAATACATCTTATTATTTCAAAACAAATTACAAATGTTGGCCTAGACTATTACATCATCATTAATGCCTAGCCTAGAAACACGGGCGTTACAGTTTTTAGTGCACATTTTGCCTTTGGGAAGGAAAGAAGAGAAGCTTGAAGTTGTTTGGGTTGGTAGAGAGACTTTGGATCCAGGATCATCATCTTGTGGGGAAGCTTTTTCAGGTATCAAGTTTGTATCTTGGTTTGTGTATGATTAGATCTCTTCATGACTAGTTTATTATGATTTTGGTCTCCTTTTTGGGTTATGGATGAGTTAGGTTGTTTAAGGGTTCATCCTTTCAGATCTGAGTTTGTTTTGGTATCCTTGAGCATAAAGGTACAAGCTTTATGTGTATTTTGGTATCATGCACGCATTAAGTCATCCATTAATTCCATTTTAAGCTTAAGAGCTTCTTTTAGTCATGTATGGACGTAAAGTTGACAACCTTACAAGATAATCCAGCTCAAGGAGGTCAGATCTGTGTTTTGGAAGCTTTGTATTAATGGATTAATTGAAAATCGAGTTTGGGCTGAATAAGGGTGAGTATATTGGGCGTACAAGCAGGTACGCTTAGCATACAAGCCTCAAAGCCTCCAAGCGAGTCTGCTGCACACACGTGCTTGTACGCCCCGTGTACTCGGTCTGTTGGGCCTTGTATGTTTTGGGCTTTGGTTTGGGCTATCTTTTGGGCTTAGTTGCTTGGGGCTTTGTTGGGCTATCTGAAAATGTGTGTTTTTAATTAGGGAAAAGTTAATGGGGATTAGGGTAAGGACCATGTAAGAGGTTTGTACCCAATTTCGAATAAGTGGGCTTTGGATGATTATTAGTTTGTGGGCCTTTATGATTGAGAGTTTGGACCTTAGTCTTGGAACAAACTAGGTGAGGGGTAAAATGGTCTTTTAACCCTATATATGGATTATTGGATTAGGTGTGGAACCTATTTGTTAATTGGGTGTTATTTGTTTAATAGCGTAGGGATTTTAGCGGATCTGCAGACAGAGAGTATCCATGGGTTTTAGCTATCCGATGTGAGTCTTCTCACTATATCCATGGGTGGGAGGCACAAATTTCGACCCATTACTTGTTATGTGGAATGCTAGTTGTCTCTATGATACTTGCATGAAGGACCATGGGGGTAGCCCATGACACTTGGATATCAGACCATGGGGGGAGCCCATAGCATTCCAGGTAAAGACCATGGGGGTAGCCTGTGGCACTTGGATATCAGACCATGGGGGGACCCATGGTATTCCACGTAAAGACCATGAGGGGAGCCCATGGCACTATAAGTATGTCCCATGATATTCTATGGTTGTATGTTATATGGTATTTTGGGAAACTCACTAAGCTTTGTGCTTACAGTTTTCAGTTTATGTTTCAAGTACTCCGATTTTCAATTAGACGGGCTCAGATTGATTGCAGAGCACACACCACATGCTTCCGCATTTTGTGAATTACACTGATTTGATGATGATCTGCTAAATCTTGGTTACATTGGTTTTATGGGAAAGATATGTATTAACGATTTATCAATCTAAAAACAAAATTTTTTTATGTAATGATTTTTTTGGGGATGTTACGTAATCCCTAAGGCATCCCTCTACTAACAGATCACCAAAACTAGTGGACCGACATTGGTGCCTTCGACCCACGGGTACAGTAAGGCGAAACTCACTGAAATGAAGAAACCCTTGAACACTGTGATACGCTCCCTGCTACCCTGCTTGCTCCTGCTGATCCACTAACATCAGGACCATATAAAATCTTAATCACTAGTCAAAACCCTCAATTTTGACCTAAAGTCAAACTTGGTCAAAAAGTCAACTGTCAATGGAGTCAACAAAAGTCAAAGTCCAAGCCTGGTTGAGTACGCCCTGCATACTCAACTTACGCCCCACGTACATGGGATGGCTTAGTACGCCCAACGTACGAAAATTACGCCCAACGTACTCGAGTTGGTTCCATCATTTCCATTAAGCACTTAATCCCTTAAGTACTTTTCACCCAAACTCAGATCTAGCCTCAAAACATTGTCTTAATTCATAAAGCTTCCACCTTTATGACTTTCTATGGCTAGGGAAGGTCCAAAAGCTAAAACCATAACTTATTAATCCATTAAGACATCACAACTCGTGCATGGAAGGGATAGAAGGGCCAAGATCGCATTTTTATGCTTCCTAATAGCTCCATAATGGATAAAGTTTCTAACTTTATCCATTAGAATGGTCCCAAAAAACAAGATCTAGTCTTTAAGTCTGAAAGGGACCAAAAGTGCATCTTTTTCAACTTAATCCATTAAGTCCAAGTCTCCAACCTTCATATCTGAATCAATATGATATGTTTAGATGGATAAAGTTTCCAACTTTATCCATAACAAGGTCACAAACTTTCAAGATCTAAACTTTTTGCACTTAAAGTGACCAAAAGCTCATAACGCCCAAAACTAGCTAGATCTAACAATTTCATCATCAAGATTCAAACTTTATACCTCCAGAAGAAAGATTAAGGTGAACAAGGTCTGGATCTACAAGCTCTAATGCAACCAACGCTTCTTCAATGAGTTCCTTCTTTTTCAAGGTGCACCAAGAATACTCCAAAGCACTTAAAAACACCTTTTTTTGCTCACAAGGATCAAACTAGGGTTCGGCTTTCAAGAGAGGGTGTTGGAGAGGTGAAGGTTGAGAATGGAGTGAGTTTGGGGAAGTTAAGGAGCTTGAATAGGGCTCAAACCACAAAAATAGGGTTTGGGCACTGATCACGTACGCCCAACGTACTCCTGGTACGCCCAGCGTACTAGGGATGCCCTAGTACACCTAGTGTACTCCCCGTACGCCCAACGTACGTGGCTAACCCAAAAATCATCATAACTTCAAACGATTGTAACTTCTTCGTTCCAACTCCTTTTTCAACGTTCTTTATATCCACGGGAAGGTGTTAAAGAGCTCTACAGTATTATCTAAATATATTGGGCTAAAAACTTCTCGAACAAAAATCCATATTTCATGCAAGAACCCGACCTATGACTTTTCCCTTTTTACCCTTCGGCCCAAAACACAATTCAACGGTTAGATCTCTCAACCATCATTACTACATTCCACAAGGTCTAATATGTACCTCCTTAAGGCTCAAAGCTTTTACACAATCGTCTTCCGGCCCACGATCCTGAAATAAGAAATTACGGGAAACAGGATGTTACTTTTTCATTAACTTAATTTAACTAAGGGAATCAATTAATTTCCTTGTGATATTTTGCCTCCCGCAGTTGAACTAAAAGTATATAAGACCTATCTCATCCATGCTTTACTAAATAAGGACCAACATGATAATAATAATGTACTCTCAAAATTAATGGGTTTATCGTTTGTACAAATGCTATAATCAAACTTCCGGCATCTTAAATATACATTTTAATAACTATGATAATTAACAAACATTTTCTTTTGAACGACAAGTCTTTAGAAGCAAACTATGGGTAGCGAGAAGCTAGGAAAGGAACAATTTTTCTATGAATAAGAAAAAGGTTCATCATCTTTTCAAATTTGAAACATATTAACTAGAAATTGGTTTTTTTTTTTTTTTGATAATGTTTTTAACTCTTAATCAATTATGTAATTTTTTTTTCAAATCAAATAACTAATGTATTTTATAGGAGTTTATAACGAATAGTGTGATAAAATACATAAGCTAGGCAATTGATCGAAAACATACATACAATTTGATCATCAATAAATATGTAGCTTTAAACATAGGTTTTGTTGTTGAATAAACTATTATATGGGAGGTATGTGTCGGTGTGTTTGGCGAAGAAAATGAAAGGTGAAAAGGAAAGTTGTTTAATTAACCGTTAATCAAGAACGCCGCCAAATTTTGGAAGGTGGGACCCACCGTCAACAAAAACCGTTTCTCGTTAAAGTGTGGATGGAATCCTGTGGAACATAAGACATGGAAGGAAGTGAGTCTGTAAAATGCATGGCTCGGATTACAAGAAAGGACATCTTCCAAGAATAGCATAACTCCCATACACACATGAGACAAACATTCCTCCTTGCCAACATGTAAAAATATTGATTCTTTTGTTCTAAAATAGTTAACTTATCGATCATTAATTATAAAATAAATGGTAAAATCATACGCTTAACAGGTAGGAACTTTGTTATCATGTAAGAAGATAATTGTAAAAATACTAACAGTACTTAGTATCTGATATAAGATCTTGAAAATAAATTTAGAAACTGCGAACATGATCATAGTTTCTCTCGTTTATGAAACCATAATTTTATTTTCTGGTTTCTCGTATTTTAATGCTCCTTTTACATAGTATTCACAATATTCTTTACTTAATTATATATTAAGAACATTTAATAAACAAGTTGATAATTTCCCTAAAAAATATATGAGAGATTATAAAGAGAAAAAGAGAGAAAGAGGCGCTTGAGAAGAAAGACCAAGAAAAGAAAAAAAGCATCAAGTATGATGCTGATGGCAAAAACCCTATTTTTTTAAAGATAAAGGAGACCCCCTCCCCCACCCAAACCCTAGTTACTTTTTCTAGAATCTCTTTTTGTTTCTTATCAAAACCCCCCATTAGAGCCCCCTCTTCCTTCCCTCGTTTCTTTCAGTTCCCTGCAGCTCTCTCCCTTTGTATCTTCTTCCCCTCAGGTCTCTCTCTCTCTCTCTCTCTCTCTCTCTCTCTCTCTCTCTCTCTCTCTCTCTCTCTCTCTCTCTCTCTCTCCACAATATCATCTTCTATATTTCTGTTTATATACATATCCAAACGCGTAGAGTTCTAGTGCTATGAAGGCTAAACGTATCAACTTCTTATGCAGTCATCTTGCTCCTAAAGACTCCGATTTTTTCTGGGTATAACCAAGTTCGCCTGCCATTTGAGGTCTGGTCCATAATTGGAATCACTTCAATATAAAAAATACAATAATCCACATCAATGGCACCTGTTTCATTGCCTCCTGGTTTCCGTTTTCATCCCACTGATGAGGAACTCGTTGCATACTATCTCAAAAAGAAAATCAATGGCCATGAAATCGAGCTTGAAGTTATCCCTGAAGTTGATCTATACAAATGCGAACCATGGGATTTACCAGGTAATTAGTTTCTCCTCTTTACGATATCATAAATTACTAAATTAGGTATTTATCGGGTCCTATCCTATATTTAAAGAATTCCATGATATGCATATCTATAGTAAGTTTATATATGAAGGAATTTCTTTTGCTTTATAATTTATCCAAGTATCACAACATAAAAAAAAAATATAAATAAAAAAATCATTGGTTTCAAATCTATTCGTTCATGAGGAGATTAAAAGCAGGTATTTTAAAGGTGGTCCAAACTTCTTTTTAGGTTACTGTTAGAACTCATAATTTTGGCAATCACCTCATAAAAGATTCAAGTCAAAAAGCAAAGAGAAAAGATCTTGACTACATTTTTTTTTTCTTCTTTCAATGATGAAGATGATCACCATCTTTTTCTTTCTTTATTCTTTCATCTCTTCTGATTGATTCATAATGATGCATTTATGATGATTAATTAATTTATCTATTATGTTTAAACAAATTTTAGCCACAACAATCTAATTAAATTATATCCGTTGTATATTTTAATCATTGAGATTTGAAATTTTGTTAGGTAAATCTTTGTTGCCAAGCAAAGACTTAGAATGGTATTTCTTTAGTCCAAGAGATCGTAAATACCCAAATGGATCAAGAACAAATCGAGCCACCAAAGGTGGGTATTGGAAGGCAACAGGGAAGGACAGGAAAGTAAATTCACAGTCGCGAGCCATGGGAATGAAGAAAACCCTAGTTTATTACAGAGGGAGAGCACCTCATGGCTCTCGTACAGATTGGGTTATGCATGAGTATCGTCTTGATGAAAGAGAATGCGAAACTGCATCTGGCTTGCAGGTTTGACACGTTTCTTGTTCAGAGACTCCATTAACATACCATTTAATCGTTACATAACATGACATTCGATCTTTTTTTATGATTAAAAGTTGCAGGATGCTTATTCACTTTGTCGCGTGTTCAAGAAGAGCTTGATCCCTCCAAAAACAACTGTGCCCGGTGACCATTATGCAACCGCAGCTAGCGATCTCTCATCATGTATCGACCTTTATTCTGAGGGTGGAAGAGGAGGTGAAGACATGGAGACTTGTAATTATCAAACACCACCAATGGCTTCATCTTCATCAACCAATATTCTCCATGGATCACACAATCAAAATCATATAAATGACGTCAAATGGACTCAATACTTATCGGAAGATGCATTTACCTTCACAAATCCATCTTTCACTAACTCATCATGTCTCAATCTTCCTTATCCAGCGTCAAAGGTACGTACAAACTCTGAGCTCTTTATGGTCATTAACTATACACATTTTTAATCTACTTCCCATGCATGCGTATAACCGAAGGATGAAAATTGTGTTTTTGAATTTTTTTTCAGGTTGATATAGCTATGGAATGTGCAAGGTTGCAGCATAGGTTATCTCTACCTCCATTGCAGGTTCAAGATTTCCAACATGAGGATGTGACTAACTATATCGACTTGAAGAACATACCACAAAATGGACCAACGGCCGGATCTCAGCTGGACTTTTTGCAGGAAATCCTTTCCGTGGCACAAGTTTCTCAGGATCTGATCAACCAGGATACATGGGGTGGAAGTTATGCTGGAAACGATAATGATTTTTCGTTTTTACCTAACAATAGCAATCAAATGCAAGGCATGGGATCGTTTAGATCCATGGGAGACGATCAAATTTCAAGGTCTATTGAGATTGGTGATGTTGAAGAACAATTGAAAACAGATCGAATGGTAGAGAATTTGAGATGGGTGGGAATGTCGAACAAAGAACTTGAGACGGTATGTACGCTACATAATGACTTCTTCTTCTTGTTGTATTATAAATTAAGATAGTTAATTCTTGTTGATATCGACAGGCCTTTCTGGATGATTACAAGAGTATTCCAGTGGAAAGTATATCAAGTTTTCAAAGGGATGAATACGAGGTTCAAGGTACGACTGACTTATAAGTCTTAGTTACTCTCCAAAGAAACTCTACACGTTCGTCAATTTTGTTGTTAAAACGAGACTCAATCCAGTTTCAGGAGAAAACACTCGTCACAGCAACATAGACGACCACTTTTCACTCGGATTCCTGAATCAAGATCAGAACAACCTAAGCGACAACTTCCTAGATGGTGATTTGGAAGATATCTCGACCACTCCAACCTTTGAAATGTATCAAAAGACCGAAGTCAGTCATGGATTATTGGTCTCAACACGACAAGTCTCAAACACATTCTTTCACAAGATTGTGCCATCGCAAACAGTTAAGGTCCAACTCAACCCGGGGATGATTACAACACATGAAACACAGCATAGGAAGACGCTTGCGTTGGAGAAGTTTAAAACTTTGGTGGGTTCGAACCCATTGAAGGTGAGCACCAAGGAGATAACGAGTCCAGTGGTTAACCTGGTTTCTCTTTTGCTAATATGTTGCATCTATCTTGGAGATGAATCCTCAGAGGATGACGATGGCGATGGCAAGAACATAGAGATAAAGGACAAATGGAGCATTTCAAGTGTGGTTTTGGAGAAGGTGATATGGCCATGTGTGACCTTGGCTTTAGCATTTTCTACCATTTGGATGCATCATAATTACATGCCAAATTTTTCTTAACTTAATTTGTTTGATTTGAAAGTATTCTCTATAGAAAAACATTGTGTAACTAGGAAATATGTTTCCAAAATTTAAAGCTATATAATTATATTACTTGTAATTTACTAATTTCACATTTAATCATTTAAAGAAAATGTTTATTCTTTTATTTTATTTTATTTTGGTATCAGATGATACACCTCTGAATCGGGGGTATAGCGGAGATTAACCCGTAAGCCTGTTATCACATGATAGGGAACAATGGGTTATACATTCTCCTTGAGTTTGGAAGCTTTGAAATAGGGTGGAAAACAGTTTTTAGTTTTATAAAAAAAAAAATTCTAACAGATGCGATGAGTTTTCCTTTTCAGTTTTTATTGAAATTTATTGAAAACAACTTTTGGTTAATTTTTTCAGTTTTCATTTTCATTTTCCATTTTAGAAAAGTAGATAATGTATTTGGTTGTGTAATTTCTATCGGGTTTTTATTTTTCAGTTTTTTGTTATTTCAAATTAGGTTTAAATTGTTTTTTTACACATGTCACATTCTATATTTACACTTTTAGCCAAGATCTTATAACTTTGTTAAGAATATAATCTAAACATTTCATAAATTTATTTATTGCAATCTTTTCTTAAGACTTATAAAAAAAATTGGAAATTTTATTAAAAAATTTTGCAACATTTTTTATAAGTTTTTTTATAACTCTGAGTTGTCTGGAGCCTGCTCCGAACCTACTGAATCGGCTCAGTGGTCTTGAGCACCACCTCGGTACTCCTCATAACCCGTTGATCGACCTCCCCCCAACAAATCGAGGTCTTGCATTTCCTCCCGTAGAGCATCTCAAAATGAGGTCGATCAATGCTAGCGTGATAACTGTTGTTATACGAAAATTCCACTAACGGAAGATACGTATCCCAACTCCCACCAAAGTCCAACACACAAGCACGCAACATATCCTCGAGGGTCTGAATGGTCCGCTCGCTCTGACCATTGGTCTGTGGATGGAAAGTTGTACTGAAATGAAGACGAGTGTCCAACTCGTCATGAAATCTCTTCTAGAACCTCGAAGTGAACCGGACATCCCTGTCAGAAATCACTGATACCGATACCCTATGACGTGCCACCACCTCCCTGATATAAATCTCGACCAACTTCTCTGCATAAATACTCTCCTGAATCGGAATGAAACACGCGCTCTTGGTCAAACGATCCACAATGACCCATATTGAATCTACTCCATGCGCGGTCCTGGGAAGCTTCGTGATAAAATCCATGGTGATGTCTTTCCATTGCTATACAGGAATCTCTAATGGTTGTATCTTACCGTGAGGACGCTGATGTTCGGGCATGACCTTCCTGTAGGTCAAGCATCGTTCCACGTGCCATGTCACATCCCGTTTCATGCAGGGCCACCAATAATCAGGACGAAGATCCCTATACATCTTTGTCGCCCCAGGATGGATGGAAAACCTAGACTTTTGAGCCTCCTCCATCAGAATTTGGCACACACCGCCACAGTATGGAACCCAGACTCATCAATGCAGAGCCAACAAACCACGGTTATCAGAATCAAAGGAAACCACCTTTCCCACAATACGCTCTCTTTTCTGGTGCTCTTCCTTCATAGTCTCAACCCGTGCCTCCCGAATCCGCTCCAATAATGGAGTAATCACATTCATCCTCAAGCATATATCCCTAATTGGAGTTGCGACCGCCTTGCGGCTAAGAGCATCGACCACCACATTGGCCTTTCCCGGATGAAAAAGGATTTCGCAATCATAGTCCTTCACCACATCCAACCATCGGCGCTACCGCATATTCAGATTCGGATGATCCATCAAATACCTCAGGCTCTTGTGATCCATGTAAATAGTACAACGAACGCCATAGAGGTAATGCCGCCAAATCTTGAGGGCAAAAACCACGGCCCCCCAACTCCAAGTCATGTGTCGGATAATTCACCTCATGAGGCTTCAGCTGCCTCGAAACGTAAGCGGTCACGCGACCATTATGCATCAACACCGCCCTTAATCCAGAGATCGAAGTATCACAAGAAACCACGAAATCATCGACACCCTCCGACAGGGTCAAAATTGGCGCCTCACACAACCGTTGTCTAAGAGTCTCAAAAGCTGCCTGCTGCTCAGGTCCCCAGCGAAATGTAACCATCTTCTTTGTCAGTCGGGTCAAAGGAGCAACTATCTTGGAGAAATCCTGGATGAATCTCCAATAATAACCCGCCAAACCAAGAAAACTTCGAATCTCAGATGGAGACCTCGGAACCTCCCACTGCATCATGGCCTTAACCTTGGCCGGATCGACCAGAATACCATCCTAGTTGACAAGGTTCCCCAAAAACTGCACCTCGCGCAACCAGAACTCACACTTGGAGAACTTTGCGAAAAGTCTCTCCCTCCTCAATGTCTCTAGCACTTCCCTCAAGTGCTCCTCGTGCTGCTCCTGAGTCTTGGAATAAACCAAGATATCATCAATAAATACTATCACAGACCGATCCAGCATCGGTCTGCACACGCGGTTCATGAGATCCATGAACACGGCTGGAGCATTGGTGAGCCCAAAAGGCATCACCACGAACTCGTAATGACCACAACGAGTCTGGAAAGCTGTCTTCTGCACATCCTGGTCCCTAACCCGGATCTGATGATAACCCGATCACAAATCAATGTTGGAGAACCAAGATGCACCCTGAAGCTGGTCAAAAGGATCATCAATCCTCGGGAGTGGACAACGGTTCTTCACCGTTACCTTGTTCAACTCCCGGTAGTCGATACACATACGATGAGACCCACCCTTCTTCTTCACAAACAGAATCGGTGTTCCCCAAGGAGAACTGGTCGGTTGAATAAATCCTTTGTCTAATATCTCCTGAAGCTTTGTAGACAACTCCTGCATCTCGGGAGGAGCCAACCGATATGGTGCTTTGGCTATCGGAGTCGCACCTTGAACCAAATCAATCCTGAACTCAACCTGCCTCTCCGGAGGCACCCCAGGCATGTCCTCTGAGAATACATATGGGTAACCTCACACAATCGACACATTATCCACGGTCACCTTACCCTTATCTCGGGTATCCATGACATAGGCGACATAACCGGAGCAACCCTGCTGAAGATAGCGTCTGGCCCTCCCTGCAGAACACAAAACCGGCCAACGCTGCGGTCTCTCCCCATGAATCACCAACTCTCCCCCACTTGGGTTCTGAACCCGAACTAACTGCTTCTCACAGTCGATCACTGCTCCATTATGGCTCAACCAATCCATGCCTACGATAACCTTGTTCCCACGCATAGGAATGGGGACCAAATCAACCGGATATTGCTCGCTGAATAGCTGAAGAGTACAACCTCGATGAACCCTCGCAACACGAACAGAACTATCTGTTGGATTAAATGTCTAAGTCCATAACTATAATTGGTATGTACTTGAATTGATAGTATGAAAGGCCTTTTAGGTTGTCTTCATACTAGCAACTAGACTTGATGACTTTTGGAGAGAGAGGTTGAATTTATTATTTGATTAATAAATTGTAATAAATGATTTATTAATGTATTATGGAAATAATATATTAATTAGAAATCATATTATTTAATTAATATTTAATCAGAAATTAATTTGGAATTAATTTTGGGATTAAAGGAATTAATTAAAAGTGCAAGGGCTATTTGGCAATTTATTGATAGTTGTGGTATTGGGCTCCGGAACCTTCCTAGATGGGTTGGACAAAATCTTCTATGAATACCCTAGGTTTTTCCTTTTGATGTTCAATACTTGTATATTCAATTAGAGAAAACATAGATCCAAGAATATTAGGGTTGCATGCACACATAGGATTGTTTGTTATGATCAAAACCCATCAGTAATATCAGAGCCTAGATTTTTTCTATTGAATTTGATGCAATTGGTTGAATTTGATCAATTAGGGTTTATGACAATTAAACCCTTTGGACTTAGGGTTTTTCGCAATTTAGGGTTTCCTAACCCAAGATTTCGAAAATTTGGAAAAGGGTTGTAACCCTTTCCCTTGGCCTTTAAGATTTCAATTTTAGGATTTCCTAACCCTATGTTTTTTGAAATTATGGCAAGGATTTGAAAATCCTTTCCTTCCTCCCCCAGTTTTGCCAAATTTTGGAAATTACGGTTTTGATAGGGATTTCTTAATTTTGGCAATTATCTCCTTATTTGATTTACAAAGATAATTGCAAGATTTGTCTGACCCCTTCCATATTTTCGAAAATTGAAAGATATGATAGAGATTTCTTATTTTTGGTAATTATCTTCTTACTTGTTTGACTAGATAATTGCTAGATTTTGTGGATTCCTCCCATATTTTCGAAAATTATTAGGGGAGTGGATTATGTTAAATTATTTTGACTAATTTAATAGACAATCCTAAAATTGATTTAATAAATTAATTAAAAGTTTAATTAATAAATAAATATTAAATCATTTGGTTTAATTTTAAATTTAAATTTAAATTGTTTTAATTTTTAAATTTAGTAATTAAACATAGTATTCTAAAATGTTTTAAAATACACATTATACTATATATATAATTAAAAGTTTAATATATATTATATGTATAAGAAAAGTCAGTCAAACCACTAGTACGCATCATTCACGAAGTCATACTATAAGGAGAGTTTAAGGAAGAGGCATATAAAATGACCGCCATTGGGTATCCATTCTTACCCATCGCTCTCTTGTATGGTGGTGGGTCGTTAGCCGAACGGGTTTGATAGGACATAATCTTATTAAAAGTATAATGATATAAAGTAACTAAACTATTTTCTAAAAATCTCATTCTTAGTTACTTTAGTAAAAATGTGAATTTGATGCTAATCCATGAAATTGCACATTGCACATTATATAAGTTGTTAGTGGAGCGTGTGTGGTTAACCGGCACACTAATATGAACTAGTAAAGGGTGGAAATGGGTGTCTCATAAATTATCATTGATTGATAGAGCATATGTGGCTAACCGGCACATTAATTAGAT